CTCTCTCTCTCTCTCTCTCTCTCTCTCTCTCTCTCTCTCTCTCTCTCACATATGTGCATTAGAAATAGAGTTGTTTTTGAATATTCGAATATTGCAATGAAAAGAAAAAAATCTTATGTTTGTGGGAATCGAACTCGAAACCGCTGTATTCCAAAAACCGCTGAGCTACAGCCACCTTTACTAACTATATGGAAAAAGTTCGACGAATATGAAAAAAAAAATATCACGACGACCAAATGCACGCGATGCAATGCATTCGCCTTTGCGTGTGGCTTCGTAGATGAATGAATTTTTGCTGTGCCGCGAAATTGTGAAATGTGGGGATGCCGCCCTTGCGAACTCAACTTTTTGCCATTAAATGAGAGACATAACTTAATTATGGAAACTTCCATGACAATCACTGTTTACATACATCTTTACCAGATGAATTGCTGTTTTTTTATTCTTTTTTTTTTTTGTTTTCAATACAGTACACTTTGATGCTTAATTAAGCCACATATTGATAAGAAATCCAAGTTTATTCAACATTTACCTTGCCCACTCAATCCTGGAGCAATGCATTATATGCATCATTATAAATTTATCTATTCATTGTTTATAATATTTGAAGCACTGAAAAAGAATTGCTTAAAATAACATTTTGACTAGAAAAACTTGTTTTTGTGGCTTCAGGTTTTTTAGCGCTACTTTACTGTGATTGACTTCCCTGTGCTATTATTTATTATTTTAAGTAGTATGCTGGAAGGAAAAATACCTATTATTCTAGGTAGAAATATCTAACTAGTATAAAAAGGGATCTGCTGTTATTTTAAAAGTGAGTAACGATCGCACAGTGTAAGCAATAACCAAAAGTCAAAATTCATAATAGTAAACCACCTTCCTGAATCAATAATAAAATGTCATCGCTTCTTATATTACTAATTTTGATCACGAGCTAAATGATGGTGATTGAGGGACGATCCCCAATCAAAAATAAAAATACAGAAAATCGTGTCAAAATCAATAAAAAGTTATTGGAAAAGGTACAAATATTATATTAGAATATTTTTGTATTTCACAGTAATTCAACAGTGTGTTTTATATTATCGCATATTTCAGATATTATTTGGAAGCAGAAACTTAATTTAATAGTTCAAATGGAAGATTGCTTCCGAAATACTTTGACGAACAACATCTATATTGGCGAAAATCGTTTTTTTTCTCGGAGATCCACATTTGACTTATTCATTCCTCATTGTGATTACATGGAAAATACTCGCGGTTGCTTAAATAATATCAATTCAACACAAAAAAATTGGTGGGCTGAATTCCTAATTTTTGATCATATTCGCAGTTGTTATAAGAAAGATCACCCACGATCATAGACTGAATAACTCACAATCACGTTGTGTTCATTATAAATTGGACGAATCACAATCGAAACGATATCAGCTTTTTGATGTGTCATATTTTTATAATTCGAAGGATCCAAATATGTATATCACGTTTTGTTGATCAAATTTATGACGAATTATACCTAAGATGTCAACCACAACATTTGACATAATTTTGGAGCCGAAAAGAGCCGTCCAGGAATACAATTATATGGAGGATGAACTTTGAACGATTTTTTTCTGAATCAAAATACAAAATGTTATAAGAATGACTATCCGACTGTTGGATGTCTTGAGTCCGAGTATGATATCTTACACCGACCGATGAATATCTCACGATGTCTACGTTATGAATTAGATGCATCAAAACCAAAAGCATATCAACTTTTGGATGCGCCATACTTTTATAGTGAAAATAATAGGAATGACGTTCAATTCAAAAACGCACTTGAGGAAAAAAAAGCTTATTTTTGGTATCATAGACCTACTCCCGAGTATACTAAAGACATATCATTAAGTGATGATGTGTACAAAATATGTAAAGAACATGACTATGACAATGTTTCATGTAAGTTTCTTCGAGAAAGAGAACATAAATTTTATCTATATTTAGCTCTTGGGAAGACATCTTGAACAACTTTCACTGCTGCTTCCATTGCCAATCTTATAATCAATATGTTTTGTTGTAGTACGACGACCCAAGCGTTCGCGTTTTGGTGGTGAAGCTATGCTGCTATTATCGAAATCATCTTCATCGAATGATTCGTCGTCACTGTCACTGCCCTTCTTCTGCAAAGAAAATAAAATAAGCAACAATTATACAGTTAAATTTTGCTTCAATATGATTCAATTCAACATACTTTCTTTTCTAAGCTTAACTTAGATTGTTTGCGACTAGCTGATTTTTTGGGTTGCTTTTTCGGTTTAAGTTCCTTCTTTGATTTCGATGCTCCCGGTTTTTTCACTGAATTTTTCTCGGTTACAACTGAAATATAATGTTTTATTTTCATTCAAACAAATACCATAATTTGGACTTATTATTTAAACAATGATTACCTAGTTTTTTGTTCATTGACACCACCAATTGTTCGTATTCATCTGAATCATCATTATTTTTGGCTACTGCCATTTTACCGAATTTTTTGAGGATTTCATCGGTGAGCTTGAATTCCACTTTGATACCATCAGCGTCTGGATAAATTTCATTATGAACTTTGCTGGTACTTTTACTTTTGCTACTAGGAGCAACATTAATTGTGTACATTATTAATTATTTGTTATTGCAAACTGATTTTCAAATGGAATATATTGTAAATGAGTGCAAAATGGTAAAAACAACATACCTGGTTTGATTGGATTTCTTGCCAAATTGATCAGCGTTGGTTGGTTCAAACAAATTGTATTGCAAATTTTTTCCAATTGACGTTTCTTTATCTGCTTTTGGCGAAATTCTAGTCGTCCTATTTCTTTGCGCATCCAAGTCTTACTTCCTTCCTTCAAATGACGAAGTTGATGTGCCACGTACAGACGGTATTCAGGATTTCTGTTCAATAATTATATATAATTTCACACACTGAATTAAAAAAAAAACTCGTTATGATATTCGTTTTCAGGAGAAATGGAAATTTGCGGATATTAGTTGGAACAAATAATTTAAGCCAAGGTAGACCTACTTACAGGGTTAACGATATTAAACTTCATCCAAAAAATGACATTGCGTTGATACAAGTGAACAAGTGAGACAATAAATCAAAATTTATATTATTAAAGTGTTATGGTATCTACTTTTGTTCGAGTGCTGAATAATGAATTTTTGATGGAAGTATTCACTGTAAGCGCTACAGTGTACACCTTTGAAATTGTATTTCACTTTGTGAATAAGAAAATGAAAGTAAGGGCACATACATGGAACTTTGAAGTTTTAAACTTCGGTACATGCATAGGTCTATTTTCTCAATATATACTCGTCAAAATGTAAATAAAAGTTTTGCCATACAAAATGTTTCAAGAAGTTCCAAAATGTGTCATTAAATCATTGGTCAGGCCAATTAGGCCTGGTGACATAAAATGTGTTTTAATTTTATATCGAAAAGAGTATCATCATTATAATATTTCTGTAAATTTTTTGAACTAATGGAGTGAATAAAAAAAATGTACCAAGCGAATAAATTTTATTTTTTTTTAATTTCGCTAAAAAAATTCCTGTAAAAGTTGTCGAAAAGCAATTGTTTGTTGTAGCTTACAAGAAGTAAAACACCAATAGTTTCATTTATTCATTTTTTATTCATAAAAATATGCAATCGAGCAGTTGATTAAACACGCACAAAAATGCGTAGGTTTTTCAATTCGGCCAAGGCGATGAATACAAAAAAATTGGCTGGAATGTTAGTAGGCACAAGTATTTGGTGTTCCAAATTCATTTTTTCTTAACAATCAAACGAAATTTCACTAACCAAGTAAGTTTTTTTTATTTATATTTAAGCCTGCACGCGTATTTTATATCGTAAAAAAACGATTGACCATGGTCAATGCAATGTTCAAGTATACAATCTCAATTTTTGTTAAAGTTCATTTATAAAGAAGATACATCAGCATTTTGATATGGCCCAGAATTGATCGCAAATTGATGTTGATATGGAAAAAATAATTGATAGCATCCATATTGGAATGTTTGAAAAGTGGAAAGATGTTGATGATGAACCGGAATGGGTGAATAGTGTGTTGCTGATGGTCCGAGTAAATGTGGCATTCGAACTGTATCCAATTCATCACACCAATCACTGTCATTCTCAATGAATTCATCACTATCGAACTCTTCTTCACTCGATAAAATAGCTTCTCGTTTCTTTGGTTTAATACGCTGAATTACACTAGCCGGCTTGTAGAATTCGATTTGGGACCATTGATTTGTTGATTTACTCTCTTTTTTCTTGTTTTTATAATGATTGGCGGATGATTTTTTCGATTTTACTTTTGACACTCTTGCTTTCTTCATTGAAACGATTTGCTAAATAAAATAAATTTTATTGATATTGAATCTTTCAACGGAATCGATTACTTTAAATATTCACACTACCTCTGGTTGGTCTTGAATTTTTCGTTGTTTTTCATAAGCAATAGATTGCTTTGAGATGACACGATTCATATTTTGTGATTCAAAAGACGTTGAGAATCTTTGATCATCTTTGCGTCCAACATCGATATCGTTAATTTTAAAAACTAGCACGTTATTCACCAAAAAAATTAGAATTAAGATTCGAAGCAATAATGCGAACATTTTTTTCTGTCTCTAGTTTGTACGACGATTGATAGCAAAGCAATGACTTTCATCCAAAAGCTAACGTAAGTTCAGTTATAAGTGCTGTCAAAACTGTAATAAAGTAAGTTCGAACATATTCATATCCATATATGCATTTTGAATAGTTTTCCACAAATAGGAAACGAAAAATAAACATGTTTTTTTAAAACATTTTTTATGCAATCTATTTTCGGCATGTTAGTTAATTTTTTTAACATTTCGTATATTATTATTGTTACTTTGTTTTACAAAATGTACATTTTTCTAAATAATTCGGGCAGGCGTCAGCAAGAGTTTCCATTATAAAAGCAGTTTTTTTACACGACTAAGTGAACGTATTGATATGGTTATGAGCAAGGCGCGATGTTAACAGTCGGTGCACATTGAACGAACAAATCTTCGCCACAGTTCTATTGAGGTGGAAAAAAGAAGAGAAAAACTCAATTCAGTCATAGAAAATTTGAATAAGACTCGTTTTTCATTACCTGGGGTGTCTGTGATTGAGGTGTATATCCAGGTTTTGCTGGTTGGTAAGTTGGTTTCGAGGCGTATGTTGGTTTATGGTCTCCGTATACTGAATTTTGGGATCCGTACGATGGATCTGCATCATATTTGTGATCGTATGGCTTTGGGTTTCCGTACGATTTTGGTCCGTACGAGTTTTTAGGTGCAGGATAGGCTGAACTTGGCGCTCCATATTCAGATGGCGCATATGCTATGAGAAAAATAAATGAAATATGAAATCCAAATGAGAATTTTTCACTTTGTTCAAATTTTGTGGCAATCATATGAATTATTTGAAAAGAAAAAACTTACGTTTGGGTGCAGGATAGCCACCATATGATGAAGATGGTTTTGGTGCCTCATACGATGGTTTCGATGCATCGGTGGATAACTTTGATGGATCGTATTGTTCTTTTGGTTCTGCGTTGTAGGCCGGACTTGAGGCTGCATCCGCTGCTTAAAATAAAAAAAACTTCATACATTTTTTAAAAACATTTTTGGTAATTAAAACTTACGTTTAGAATCAGAATAGGCTGGAGAGGTGGTACCATATCCTAAAGAAAAAATATTCATTTTTATTCATTTGGGATCAAATAATTTGAATTTAGATGAATCAAAAATTATACCTGCAGACCGAGCATTTGACTCTCCAATCTGCGAATCGCCCTCTCTGGATGGAAAATAATCACATTATGTAAAATCATATGTAATAATCATATTATGTAAAACAATATTACAGAAGTATAACTAAAAAACTATACTCACAAATCACTATCTTCTCCATTGGCCGATCTGTACATATAAGCGTCACCTGGTATCCCGTTGAAATCATAGACTGAAAATTAAAAAAGGCTCAAGTTAAATGATGTTCGAATATCCTGGTGCAATCGCGTGTAAAGAATCATGTACAGTAAGAAAATATCAGCCGACGCTATACGCAAAACCGACTGGTACGTGCGCTCATACATTTTTACATCTTTTACATCTAGTGACCATACGATTTTTCGACTGATTCGTTACTCTTTGTGCGTATCTTCGCACAGTCGAAAAATCGTATGGTAATAGATGTAAAAACGTATGAGCGCACGTACCAGTCGGTTTTGCATATAGCGTCGGCTGATATTTTCTTTCTGTGTGGATATTAACTGATAATAATTTTCAAAATTATTCGAAAGATCTAACCAACCTTTAGGAGCACCTCCATGAGACGCTGCATGTGATTTCTGGGCTGCTGATGGCTTGTAATGTGCGGGTTGTGTATTGTAGGCCGTTGGTGCTGTGTGAGATTCTGAAGATGGTGGTGGATATGACGAATAGCTTGACGGTTTTTGATAAGGCCCAGTTGGCGCTTGATAACTTTCAGGTGCTTTAGCATAGCTTGACGGTTTCGCGTAGCTCAGTGGCGGCGAATAAGGCCCGGCGGACGGCTGATAACTTTCAGGTGTTTTAGCATAGCTTGATGGTTTTGCGTAGCTCGGTGGCGGCGAATAAG